GTCCTACCACCAGATACCCATTTATAGATTTATACCCATTTATAAAAATATATAATATGAAGATCAATGTGTGTATGTTTTCTGTAGTACGGGAAATTGCTTACACTCGCATTGATCTAGCGGGTGATTTTGTAAAGTTTAGTAGCTATCGGAACAAAGCCTAATAAAAGATCGTCTCGCAAACCGGGCCAAGTTTGACTAGTTATATTTCCGTAGATAAAATCCAGAGTACTCCCGGCACTATATTATAACGAAATTATAAATTATTATAAATAAATGTGATCTTTAAGCTAGACTTCTTCTAAAGCCATCGTTAAGAAATATTATTTTTTGTACGGTTAAAATTCTGTAAAACTGGCAATAAGGATATATCAAATAAATCTGGATACAAATTCGGAATTCGAAAATCATCGACCTATAAACGAACTAGGGTCACCAAAATAGGCATTATTAATCGTACCTACATTTAAAATTGACTTTTCGAAGACCAGCGTGAGTCCAAGTTAATGACCCGGGCGCGATTTAAGATTTATTAGGAAACATCTATATACGTAATCCATATGAATTTGGCAAAAGTTTAATAAAGCCAATGAATATTACGCTACGCTACACTACACTAAACTACGACATAATAATATACTAATAAATACCGTAAGAATTTAAACCGAATTTGAAATTATGAAACTTCTTACCTCTCTTCTATAAGAATACAGCTTACATAATCTTTCTCGATATAAATATATGGACTGTTTCCATAATTCCAAACGACTTGTCCATATATGTAATATATTGGTTAACATTCCTTTTTCCAATGGTTGTGGGATGGATCTTTGTGGGTGTTGAAACTGTTGAGCTGACAAGGTCGGCTGCTACCCACTCGACAAAGCCTTTTACTTTTAATTATTGTTGTCACACTATCGTTTTTAGTATGCAATGTGTTTGCAGGCTTTTAAATAGTGTCTTCCGATACTCTGTTTGAGAAAAATGACAAGAAAAATTAATTGAAAATGATAAATTGTGTTATAGGGGAAATCGGTGTTATAACATCGTGTAATAAAAATTAAACCCGCAAAATTATAATTTGCGTAATCACTGGTGGTAGGACCTCTTGGGAGTCCACACGGGTAGGTACCACCACCCCGCCTATTTCCGCCGTGAAACAGTAATGCGTTTCGGTTCGAAGGGTGAGGTAGCCGTTGTAACTATACTGAACTTATATCTCAAGGTGGGTGGCACATTTACGTTGTAGATGTCTATGGGCTCCAGTAACCACTTAACACCAGGTGGGCTGTAAGCTCGTCCACCCATATCAGCAATAAAAAAAAAAACAAAAATAAATATATTTTTACTTGCATAATTGTATTCAGTAAAAGAAGCAGTCAGACTATAGCAGAAGCTTGTACAAATATATTTTTTGCAAATATTCTCTTCACATATTCGTTTATTGTTCTAGGGATTTCATCATCTAATCTAAAACTTTAGATAAATAATTTTAAGAAATCTTATTCCGATAACAATAGTATAGAAATCCCTGTACTTAAGGACACTATGTCTATACTAATATTATAAAGAGGAAAGATTTGTTTGTTTGTTTCGAATAGGCTCCGAAACTACTGGACCTATTTGAAAAATTCTTTTTCCATTAGAAGCCGACATTGTCCCTGATGAACATAGGCTACTTTTTTTTTTTTTTTTATTTTTTTTTTTTGTTTCATGTGTGTTTTAATGTTTCCGAAGCGAAGCGAGGGCGGGTCGCTAGTATCTAATATCTTGGAAGCATTTTTAAATTCAATCGGTCTATTAGGTTGAAATAGAGATAGATTTAAAAAGAGATAGATCTACTAATTCGAAAATTGAGAATCTACAAAAAGGTTTTTATTTGAGTTCACTAGTCAAGTTTAATAACGTCGACCTATTTGCTTACTGAGAGTTTAATTTCTTCACCTCGACTAAACGATTCTTGGCTGTGATGTCTGAGACGCACCGTTTATTTTGCAATTTAGCTACACAATCCAAAAAGACTAACAGCGACCTTCGGTTTCTGGTTTTTATTTGGCTCCGGTGACCGTACAGGCTGCAACCGCAATAGAAGGCAACCAGTGTGACCGATTACCGAACTACATAAAAAAGTTTCAAAGCTTCATAGTGAAACGTCTTCGTCGTAAAAGCTCCGTTCATCGACAAAATACGAAGCTGTTTCAATTAATAGAAACACGTTCAACGGTCACCACAAGGTCACCGTCGACGGTGTCGCTGGTACTGTTCATAAGATTTAGCGATTTACTATTTTAATTTACATTTCTTCAAACATTAATTATGTCCAATATTCAAAGCTTGTAGAAATAAATAGCTTAGAGCGCATTACCTCGCAGTTTACTTTAGGGTCAAGTTATTACTGAAGTCCATCAACATTAGAAAGCGGAAGCCGTCGCTAGCTTTTCAGGGCAAGACCGGTTCTGTAGCTCAAACTGCAATACATTTTTTGGGGGGAAGTTAGAGCATGGTTTGGCCACCGCTAATTACATATTCGACTAAGGCAACGGGGCAACGCAAAGCCACCGTCGCCCAAAATACATATCTCGTTGGATCCCCCGGATCCGCTTTCGTAGGTGTTAGGCTCTTCAAGCACCGATCACCGTCCTCGCCGAACTTGTTGATTACGATGAAAACAGTGATGTCCGAACCAGTCCATAGACACAATTCACTCAGTTTCTCGCCGGAACTTCTCAGTGGATTGCGATTCCGATCCGATGTTAGATTCTACGAAGTACTGCTTTTGCTAGGTCTAGTGTTAGTAAACTCTCAGGTTGAGCCCGTGAGCTCACCTACCAGCCAGAAAGTAGCTGGAATAACCCTTGAGGCTACCAGCGAATATATAAAAATTGCATCAAATAATGTATGTATGAAATAAATGTAATTTTTTTTATTGCATAGATGGGTGGACGAACTCACAGACCATCCCATCTACAACGTAAATGCCGCCACCCACCTTGAGATATGGGTTCCAAGGTCTCAGATTAGTTACAACGGCTGCCCCACCTTTCAAATCGAAACGCATTAGTGCTTCACGGCAGAAATAGGCAGGATGGCGGTACCTACCCGTGCGGACTCACAAGAGGTCCTACCACCAGTGTAATACCGTGTCATATCTAATTTAAATGCATTTAAATCTTGTCTAGCCTATATCACTGTCCATTCTGTCAACCATAATTTGTTTTCCTGGCATATACAGTTTCGAATACGTATTTTCTATTTACTATAGTAGAATTACTTTGCCCGTGCAGTTTGGGTCATAAAAAATCGGAGCGGTGAAGCGAGTATTTCGCTCTCTCTTCCACTCACGAGCCTTATGGACGGGCATAGTGATGCGTATTATTGTTGTCGATAAGCGTTATCGATAGTGTATTTAGTTTTGTCATTTTGTGGGTGAGTGATAAATATGAAAGAAAAAATCACTAATCGAACACTTATACCACATATCGCCGCAGCAAGTTAACGAAAACGGCAGAAATTAACACTTTGTAACTTTTCGAGATTTATTCTTATTTCAGTGAAAATTTTTAACACATTTTTAAAATTTTTCACAACACGTGCAAATATTATTTTGAATGAATTCTGCCGTTTTGATACAAAACAAAGGAGTAGCCATTGTGGCACTAAGGAAATTCAGAGAACATTACACAACATAAAAACACATTTCTCTTCGACATAATGTACTATAATTTTCAGGTAAGTACAAATGACTCATAACAATGTCTCACCACCCTTCGTATACCACCCCACCGCCGTGTACCTGCCTTCGATGACTCATTTGTTTTTATCGATAATGGCGTTGCGCCCGCGCAACATGCTCACCGCCCTAGCCGGGCTATGTTTTATGACCCAAACTGCACAGACAAAATAATTCTACTATAGCCTAGGCTGTTTTGAAAGAATAACCATTTTCTTCTTTATGGATTTTTATTTACTTCATGTGACAAGATCATTATTTATCTCTCTAATCCGGACGCTATTTTCGTAATCGTCTATAATCTATACCACAGTAACAATTACGTACGTGACCGTAAATAATTGTGAATCGGCAGTAGTTTCTAGTAAAATACTCGAGTAATTCTACTGGTCACTGAATTGAATCGCAAAAAGTCAACGAGAATAGAAAGGCGTGACTAAAACATTGGGGGTCAATCGTTGGGCATATTAATATCAGATGTTCTGATAGAGAGAGAGAGATCCCCCTCTCTCCCGGGAGGGATAGAGGGGGAGGGGAGGGGAAGTATTCTTTATGGGTTATCCCAAAATGAATAAACAATACGAAGCATTAAAAACAAAAAGTACAGTTGCTGATATGAAGTTTCACGAGGGTTATAACTTGTACTTCTTCAAATGCGGTTCGAAAATAGTTCTGAGTGTAGCTTGAATATCGACAAAACTCGATTCGTTCGTTGCTGCGAATAAAATCTAATCGAATAATATAAAAAATCTTTAAAAAATCTTATGTTTTATATTTGTGACATAGTGCTGCATAGTCACTAATAATTGTATGATTTACCCCATTCACTAGTTAATCTTTCTGTCACTAGAATTCTTACGCAATTATCGGAGTCCACTATTATTTCAATTGAGTTACTAGCTGTCTTGGTGTTCAATACGCAAGTGAAATAGCCGACTGTCATTCTCTAACCGTACATAAATTTATAATTTCTGACATAGACCTTGATTTTCTGAAAACACCCCTGTAAAGCTTAATCAATTCAATAGAAAGTTAATCTATAATTAATTTGTTAAAATTACTACATTCTGAACATTAAGCCTAATGTACAAAAAGATCTTAAATGAATTGTAGTCGTAACTTTAATACAAAAATATTCAAGACTCTTAATCTTAGTCAATCGTAATTAATCTATAATATGATAAAAAATTAACGTTTCCATTATCATTATTGTATAAACATGGTTTTAAATTTGAATTTTCTGTTCTAAACATTGTTTGTCTGTTTTCAGGAAATATACACCAGTCCGACGTTTGTCTTAGACAAATGTGAGACTTTTGATGTGATACCTGGAAAATTAGGTGAGTTCCAATACATATAGCACTAATTTTACACATTAAACCCGTTCATACATCTTTGTGCTTAGTGCGAGTTTTTTAAAGTACTCGATAGCGTAAAAGTTAACTCAAATTTCTATGGAGTTGAAAGGTTTGCCTACGTTTGCCGCTTGGGGCGCTGTTCCAACTGCATGCTTTGAGTTAAGTTTTACGCTGTTTAGAACGTTAAAAAACTCGCACTAAGCACACTTGTAGGATTTTATGTAGTCGTCACTTAATTAATCAATAAGTATAATTAATTATCTTTTATTTTACATACAATTTGTATAATGTCTGTATGTCAATGTAACAATTAGTAAAAAAAAAATCGAAAGTAAAACAATGCTTACAATTTTTGGTTGTCAATATTCTTTACCACTTTACAAAAAAGAGGAAAACTATATTTATTTATATTTCGCCTGTCTATCTGTGCCATAATCGAACGCGTTAAAACGAATTCTTTTTATTAGATATATATTGTATCTCAAACACTTGGCTTCGCTAACGGCTATTTCACACAAGCGAATTCGTTTGCAAATATTTTGTTTTTGTTATTTTTGTAACTGTATGTAACTCACTCAATTAATAAGTCGTTGGATGCAAACGACCATCATCGTAAATGTATTTTATTGCTAAGCGAAGTTTCCAATTCTGTTTTTTTTTTTGCAATCGACCGTTGTGTTTACTTGTCTAAAGCAGTAATGCGTTGCGAACTAAAATGTTCTATGTGTCTGTCGGTTTGAGATCTTTTGCGATTGTTTTTTATTTTTATTTATGTATATGCTGCGGAAATGAAAGGAAGGCTTTTCAAATATGAAAACAGTGCACTCTAAATATCAGCACAATGTGTTGGTAAAAAGATAATTCGTCCAAACACCAGCAAATCTTTATATTTCGATTGATAATACAGATCAAAATATTGTAAAAAAAGATAGATAATATATAGATAATGAATATTGTTTTATTTTTATTTTGTGTGTTAAATTACTAAATGTTTTATATTGGTACATAAGCTGGCAGTAAGTAAATAAGTTAGTGCATAAGTTTGTAGCTATTTCAACGCTTTGGCATGAATAGACAGGAGATAAACAAACTGCACTTGTTTTACTTTCACTTGTTATTGTTAAATTATTCATCGTAGTTTAATTAATTGCCCACGTCGTATAAATTATTAATTACATTACAGAATATTTACATACATCTTGAAGTTTTTGAAAAATAATACGGGTCTTACATATTTTTTTTTATTATCTTAGAATTATTTGATATCTATCAAGAAAAAATTGTATGTGCGTGGCAATGAATTTTATGAGTTAACCATACTAAAAGGCAATAAATTAATTATAAAAGAGACACATTATTAATATTTTATTTAAAAAATATTCGCAATGTAATTAAAAGTAAGTTTTTTTATTTTTTTATTTCATCAAATCGTTCAGTTTCTCGTATATTGTACCTATCCACCTCTAGTTATCCAGATACCCAAGTTTTGTTTAATATATAACTCAACTCAAGCGGCTCTGTTATTGCTATCAAAGTCGCAGTTGGTTTCAACCTTTGTGCCAATTTTTCAAAGAACGCCACAATTACTCAGAAATACTTATTTATTGTAAAGCCTTGTTGGAGTCTACAGCCGTCTTAACGTCTTTAATCGGCTTCCATCACGAGGAATAAAATTGTAATATCAATAGCATAGTAACAACAACATCTTTATATTCTGCCGTAAATTATGATTGATTCGCGGCATAAACAAGCAGAATGGTAAAAATCTACGTGAATCGATTAGTAAGAGCAACAATTAGGGTTCGAGATCGCCTGTATAATTTGATCAAATTCCGGAACGACTGCTTTAATTCGTTCCAAAAAATGGTATTTTTATTACTACTACTAGCGACCCGCCCTCGCTTCGCTTCGGAAACTGTAATTTATTATTGATTTCTCCACCATTTAATGGATGTTATTATACATATAAACCTTCCTCTTCAATCACTCTATCTATTAAAAAAAACCGCATCAAAATCCGTTGCGTAGTTTTAAAGATTTAAGCATACATAGGGACAGATATAGGGACAGAGAAAGCGATTTCGTTTTATACTATGTAGTGATTTAAATCTCGCACAAAAATTGCCGCTTCACCTGAAAATCTTACAAACCTTACGCCTTCACTGATCTGCAAGAAAAATCGAGTCTCACTGCCCAAAGTGCAACGTGAACTTGTTGGCTACTTTACAATTGAAATATATGTATTTTAGTTTTATTACTGAAAAACCCAACTTCCAAAATCACCTGTTATAAGCAATCAAAAATGATGACCGAAGTAATCATAAAAATACACACAAGCAAACTGTTTTTTATCTTTAGTTTTTAAAATGTGGCGATTTAAAATTTATATTTATCGGCCGTTTCACTTTATTGAAGATGTTATTGAAGATTTTAATGCTCTTACATTGAATGTTAGGTAAATTAAAACTTGCGTCAGTTTTGCGAGTATATTTCTTGTGGTTATAATAAGCAATAATACTATACATCGTGACTACGTTTGCTGCAAAGCTCTCATACATTCGAGTTTGTAGCACAAATTATTGTAACAATATTCATAAGTGTGGTTTCGACCTCAATTCTCAATGTCGGTGACGGCATTCACGCTGCGTTGCCTTTGAACTGGCGTAACCAATTAAAATCAGATGAGTTGTGAACTCGTACTCCGAAAATTAAAAAAATATGCATTCGATATATTAGTTATAACTACTAACGTATGCACTACACTAAATATTACAATATAATATTATTGACACGTTTTTGGTATATATTGTTAAGCCGGTAAGAGTAACGCCATCTATTGTCAGATAGCGGAAACAATACTATAGAGCTGTGTAATACTCTCGATAATTCTAGGGATGTGATATCGGCTATAAAAGCATTGCAGAGATGGCACGCAGTCAATCATGGTTTTACTGGTGGTAGGACCTCTTGTGAGTCCGCGCGGGTAGGTACCACCGCCCTTCCTATTTCTGCCGTGAAGCAGTAATGCGTTTCAGTTTGAAGGATGGGGCAGCCGTTGTAACTATACTTGAGACCTTAGAACTTATATCTCAAGATGGGTGGCGCATTTACGTTGTAGATGTCTATGGGCTCCAGTAACCACTTAACACAGGTGGGCTGTGAGCTCGTCCACCCATCTAGGCAATAAAAAAAAATCATTAATCGGAACTACTCGAAGCGAAACAGCGAACGAATCACCTGAAGCGAAGCGGAAGAAGCGAATTGAGAATTTTAAAGTGTTTGTTGAGTATTTTAAGCGTTCTAAGTGTTGAATACAATTTTTAATTTGTACTTCGGTAAAATTTTATTTATCCCGAACCCCAGCGCGTAACAGTATGTATGTTTGTTTATAGATAACGGATTCTTTGATCGTTTTCACTGATTTGAAAAGAAGTCGGATTAACTTGAAAATTTTTACACCCGTCAAAGACCAATGACAGTACAATAACTGTAAAACAGCGCTCTAATATCCTGACTGACATAACTGACCCAAGTTTCAACAGGATTATAAAATGATAAAATGAATTGTTAATAAGATTTTAATAAGGTTATTGAAGCGTGGCTTCATATTAATACTCAATATTATATTAATACATATTAATACTCATAGATGAGGCCGTCAGCGTAAAAGTGGCTTAACCCACAATTTTTCATATTCGTGCTTCTATATTGCAATTTATTTAAAACATTATAAATTTTGATGCCAAAACGGTTTATCCCTAGTTTCACACATAGATAACAGAAGTCTTTGTAAACATTATTTTTGCGCGAATTATTTTTTGCTACGAAGTATGTAAATGTAAATTCATACCTCATTATCTGCATACTAATTATGGTAAGCTTAGGCCTCAAATGTCCTAGTGCAAACAAATGTTAATAAAAATATCGAACGGAGGATTATCTCTTGATATTAGAACCTTAAAATCGGGAAAATATGTGTTAAAGTCGCTTCTATGTATAAGGATTTGAATGTAGTTTTTTTACTGTTTCCTGGGTATCTCCACTACCCGAAAAATAACATTAGAAAGTGGTTATATAGATATGTGATAGGTACTCACCATGAATGAGGAGTGAATTCCTATTTCAATTTAGGTAATAAACAATACTAATGAGTTCAAACCAAAAATCGGCACTGCAACTTTTTAAATTAAGAAAGCCCGTGCTTATATTATTTGCATATCAGTTATTCTCTTCATCCTAGTCCAAAGTAACGTCAACATAATCTATTAAATAAAAAAGCAGCTTTGATAAAGAATTGGACGACTATCTGCTGTGTGCTTTTTGTTTTGAATTAATAAAATATTGAGTTTTTTGAGAATCAATATCAAAGTAATTGTAAAATCTGAACAAAAACAAAAATCTCCCCGGCGGGGAATCGAACCCCGGTCTTCCGCGTGACAGGCGGCCATACTAACCACTATACTACCGAGGATTGTACAATTTTATGATCAATTCTGAAACAGTTTCCGAAATTTTGTAAATATTCAGTTAAAATTAGCACTTATGGTCTTTACACAAAGATGGTACTCCCTTGATTGTGAATATAATATCGAAGGGCCACAGGAATCAACTCCATCTAGTTTTGTTCCTCACAGTCAGACTTACATCGATCGGAAGCTCTGCTGACGTTACTGTAGTTTCCTTGCCCTCCTACAGATGTAGTTCTAGCAAAAATTTAATATTTTGTACTAATATACATACGTACATGGATAGGAATGCAAATATGGGTATAAGGATGACGCGTATATGCATTTGTCCTTATACATTATATTGAACAAATGCTACCCTTATTAGACATATTGAAATAAAAATGACACTCCCCACAATCGACGATTAGCATGAAGGAAGACATTTACACACTGATTCTCATCTCTCACATGCTAGGTAACATTTTTTTTCCCTACCTATAAGCTGGTAGCCTAAGGGGCTATTCCAGCTACGCC